TCTCTCTCTCTCTCTCTCTCCCCCTCTCCCCCCCTGTGGTTTCTGTCAGTGTGTCTTACTTTTTCCCAGCACTAAATGACCTTTATTGAGTCGATGTGCTTCTCTTTACTCAAACAAACAAACAAACAAAACCATTCTACGGTAGCGCCACTTTTCAAACTCAGCAACGAGCCTCAGCTCGGTCTGGCGTTGTGTCCTTAGGGGAAAAGCACTTTACTCGAATTTCCCCTTTTGGCTCGATCCTTTCGGAGATGGATGTTAAACTCGGAGGTCCTGCTTCTTAAATAACCTAATAGTGTTGATAGGGGTGTGAAAAATAATATGCCGTTTCAGCATACTTTTGCTAGTGAGTCATACTCTAATAACTCCGGTTTGAACCTTTCCCTCCTCAGGTGTGGGTGGTTGGCGGGTGCTCTGGTGTGGTTTGCTTCTTGTTTCCTATCAGACATCTGTCGTCCTTATCTCCCCTTCATCTTTTTATGTTTGTTACTCTCTTGTAACAGCTCTAATCTTCTGGCGCTCATATGACCTTATGCAGTTACGAGCGCCGTAAAACCTCTACTAAAACTTAAAACTAAAAAACTTTCTTGTAACACCTCAAACCTTCGACTCTTATGTGACCTTATTGTGTTGCAAGTGCCGCAAAACTCTTACTAAAACTAATTTTTTATTTTAAAAATGTCCTCAGGTGTACGGCAAGAAGCGCAACGCATGCAGCTTCTGCCGCTACCACCGGTGTGTGGAGATGGGTATGTCGCGGGACGCTATCAAGACAGGCCGCTACTCGCACAAGACCAGGACCGAGTACGCCATGGAGGTGGAGGAGTTCAAGCTCAAGGAGATCCACAAGGCCGAGAGCCAGAAGTACGAGGGGCTTCTCTGCGACCTGGTGGGTGGTTTCTTCTCAATGTGTGATTGTGTGTTTGGTTGGTTGCTTGCTTGTTTACTTGTTTGTTTGTTGGATTGTTTGTTTGTTTGATTTGTCGCCCTACGACAACATGATTTGCTGTTTACACGGGCACCAGATTCACAGGGCCGAGAGCCGGAAGTACGAGGGGCTTCTCAGCGATCTGGTGGGTGGTTCTGTTCACTGGTTGTTTGTTTGTGTCGTAGTTTGTTTGTTTGTTTGTTTGTTTGTTTGTTTGTTTGATTTGTCGCCCTACTACTTACAACATGATTTGCCGTTTACACGGGCTCTAGATCCACAGGACCCCTCCGGGGCATTGCCACTGACTGAAGTGTCTTTAGGCCATTCCCAAAGGGGGGACATTTCTCGTTCAAGCATAGTAGAGTTGTAAATGGGCTGACTCATGTCACGCTCATAACTGTGCCTGGTCTACAACAGGGAACTGCCGCTTTTTTCCCCCTGATCCTTACTATAATTGTCATTTTCCTCTACTTCTTTCGTATGTTTGTCACTCTCTTGTGACCTGCTGTTTCCGGGGTGCCTTGATAGTCGAAACAGATATTGTGCTGTTGAAGCTAGAGAGGGGAGCAGTGTAAGTCTGATTCCCTGTAAGGACTTCTCTGTTGACATCCACTCCTTGGCGCTCATATGACTTTATGCAGTTGCGAGCGCCGTAAAACCCTCTACATAAAAAAAAGGTCCGCAGGGCTGAGAGCCAGAAATACGAGAAGCTTCTCAGCGACCTGGTGGGTGCTCTGCTCAATGTGTGATTGTGCGTTTGGTTGCTTGCTTGCTTGTTTACTTGTTTGTTTGTTTGATTGTTTGTTTGTTTGATTGTTTGTTTGTTTTGTTTCGTCGCCCTACTACATACAACATGATTTGCTGTTTCCACGGGCACCAGATCCACCGGGCCGAGAGACAGATGTAGGAGGGGCTGCTTACTGGCCGTGTGGGTGGTGGTGCTCGCTGTTTGTTTGTTTGCTTGTTTGTTTGTTTGGTTGTTTGGTGTTTTTGTTTTTTGTTTTTGGATGGTTGGTTGGTTGTTTGGTTGGTGTTGGGTACGGCTCACTATTTGTGTGTTTGTTTCGTTGTTTGTTTATTTGTATGTGTTGCTGTGATTTGACTCCTTACTACAACCTGTTTTGCTGCAGAGATGGGCGCCAGATTTCACAAGGCAGGGCCAAGAGCCGGATGTATGAGGGTCTGCTTAATGATTCATACGCACACACATGTTCACACCCATAAACACACGCTCTCTCTCTCTCTCTCTCTCTCTCTCTCTCTCTCTCTCTCTCTCTCTC